AGGATCCCTCCTGTTGTTGGTCGACTGATCAATGTGACCTCAGAGATCAGAGAGATCACCACCGACCACAGGCTGGCCAGGACCTTCTTCACCTCCCCTGGTATGTGTGCGCATGCATTTAGACAATCGGACACTTGTTTCTCTGTAGAAGTTTCTTTTGGGTCATTTTGAGTCCCTGTGTTGTTGTTTCTTGTCACTTTGTAGTCATTTGAAGCCTGCTTGTAGTTGTGTTATCTCTCTGTGTTGTTGTTTTGAGCTTGATTGTAGTTGTTTCTAGTCTTGTTGTGATTGCTTTGTGTGTCTTTGTATTCTTGTTATGACTCTTTGTAGTTGTCTTGTGGGTCCACGTATTTTTTTGTGTCTTTATAAAGTCATTTTCGGTGTCTTTGTAGTTTTAATCTATGTCTTTATGGTTGTTTCTTGTCTCTTTTTGTCATCTTGAGTGACACTTTACAGTATGTTGAGGAGTTGTGAGTCTCATTGTGGTCTTTTTGAAGCTAGTGTGGATCTCTCTGTAATTGTTTTGGGCTGTTGTTGTCTTGTAGGTCTCTTTGTAGTCGTTTGATTCTCCTTTGTGGTGATTTTGAGTGTTGTCCTTGATGGTTCATGTCTCTGGGTCCCTGGGCCTGTAGTCTAAGACCTGTTCAGTAATCCATTCATGCATTTATGTTAGTATGTATCCATGCCACCTGCACTAACATATGACATACTATCCATGCAAACTGAAAACTAAGCTGTCGTCTCTCTGACTGCAGCGGGGAACGTGTGTTTCTACGGCCAGTGTGAGTACTACTGTTCCGCAGAGCACCCGGTGTGCGGTCAGCCCCACAGTCTGGAGGTTTCTCTGGCCGCCATGCTGCCAGACCTCAGCCTGGCTCGCCGCCGCTCCTGGAGGTCACCATGGAGGCGCTCATACAGCCGCACCAAGCTAGCAATGTGGGTACACCATTTTTATAGAATATGTATTATAAATGGTTGATTTTAAAGGTCCCCTATTATACTGTTTCTCATCAGTATATTACAGGTCTCAGATATATACAAAACATGTCTCTGAAGTGTTTGGCTCCAAACACCAAACAGATCATTGCAGCATTACCCATAATCCCCTCTGTTTCAGCCCTGTTTCCAAAGTGCTGATTCTCTGTCTGTTACTTCAGATGAAAATAAGGAGCCCCTCCCCACGCCAGAGTTCTGCACGGGTCTGATTTTCAAGACCCGCTCCCGCCCCGCACCCGCGACGTGCAATACCGAACCCGCCCCGCTACCCGCACATATTGCCAATTAGTTCCGCGACCCGACCCGTCGGCACAAGATCCGCAACCCGACCCGAACCCGCATATATATGAGCAGTGAAAATGTGCAATTATTAACACATGCAGTTGCATATTTGTCTCAAAAAGCGTGGGATGTTGGTTATTTCCTCCATCTAGGATGACACCAAAAGCCTCCCAGACGTTGGATTTCGCTCTTGAGGAAGTGTTATTGAAAATGCTGTATTCTCCGCTAGCGAGCTTCACCTCAGCCATTTCGAATGTGGCGCGCTCAGCAGCAGATTGATGCGCTGCAGAGGTTATGATTATGCGCGGTCCCGCGGGGGAGAGGTCTGAGGATTTTAAACATTAAACTAAATGATTATTATTATAGTTTCCTGAAACTTTCAGAATCTCTTTACACAGAGGGGACACGTGTTGATGTAGAAGAGACATGAAGAAGTGGATTTTGCATAATAGCTGAGCTTTAAACCCTGCAATAATCACTGCAGTAATGAATTGTAATGTTTCAACCTTCTGTTGGAGTCTGGAGTTGGGATGAGTGTTTGTATCATAAGGCTTCACTGTCCTCTGGTGGTCAAATTAAAACAGTAAAACACAACATTAAATATAAGTACTAATATCATCCTATTAGTATCCTTTTGCTTCTACCTAATTGCTGTGTTGTTCCCAGGTGGGAGAAGGACCCGGCCTACTGTGACACGGTGAAACAGACGCCTCCTTACAACCACGGCACCCGGCTGGTGGATCTCATAGACATGGCTATTCTGGACTTCCTCATGAGTCAGTGCTTTAATTTAAACACAATCCTAGCTTGAAACAAAAGGGGGTTTACAGGCAGTGAAAAAGGCTCACTGGCCTCCTTTAAGATGTAAGGGGAAAACATTCAAAGTGTATAAATAAATAAGAAAAAGAGTATTGTTTCCCAGGTTAATGCTCAGGATGTTATCACAAACCATTATTATCTTTGTGTTTCTACAGAAATGTCAGTCACATAGTCTAAATAAGCATGAATGTTTGTCTTTGAAGGCAACATGGACAGACATCACTATGAGACGTTTGAGAAATTTGGAAATGAGACTTTTCTGCTGCATCTGGATAACGGACGGGCGTGAGTACAATGAGCTGCTGTCTGGGAGTTGATAATGCTACTCGTATAGAAGAGGCAACAGCAACTCACATGTAGTAGAAGTCTGAGAACAACATAAATAAATAAACATTATATATGTTTGATGCTCTTGATGATGTTTTTCAGGTTCGGCCGTCACTCTCAGGACGAACCGACTATTCTAGTTCCCTTGAAACAATGCTGCCGGTAAAACAAAACACTGTCTGTTCACTGAGTAACTATCCAATATCCAACATTTCTGCCTTGAATGTCCAAAGACAACCAGACCTATGCTATATATTTTGTTAAACTGTGTTCTAATATCATCCCAAATAATTCCAACATTTATCAGACTTGGAGAAATCAGTATTTTTAATCAAGGTAACATTCCATTTCATTTTGTCTCCTGTAAAGAATGCTCTTGCGCCAACATTGGGTTTGTCTGCGAGACGCTGTCATCAATGGATTTTTATCTAATTTGAGCCCCATTTTAACAACGCACCTTTAAGATGTTGGTTGTTGTTGACAATATATTGTAACTGGCTGAATGTTTTTAGTCATCAGACATCTGGATCTTCAGTTATCAGACAACAAGCTGAGCAAACGGCGTATATTAACATATTTTGTGTCTTCTCACCTTGTTGATTTGAAGAGAAATTAGACCTCTGTGGATAATTCAGCTCTTGGTAAAATCCTCCTGAACGTCTAGCTATGAAATGACCATAGAAACAAGCTGAGCAAGAATGTCCATGTTACGCCAAGACGTGTTGGAAAAAAGTGATTTTTAACGTGATTTGCTACAAGATGCCACCAGATATAGTTAATTTTTTATATTATTCATATTTATTTTTTTAATGAGCAACTACTAGTGGCAAGAAAACTACAAAAATAAAGGGATGAATTAAAAGAATTCACCACATTTTTTATTTATTCTTCATTGAGATTACAAATCTATTTTTCAAGAGAGTCCTGGCCCAAGAATGGAAACGGCAAAGTGACAGACCATTTTAAAACACACAATCACAACACAGTCTTACACCAAGTTCAGCCAAAGCATTTACAGACACAGCGGCCTGCTTCAAGGTCAGTTAGAGTAGCACATAATGACACCTGCAATTAACAGACCAGAAAGAGGGGGAGGAAACTTGAGTTATCTCTGAAGATTCTGGCTTATGTGTCAATATTTCTTATGATCTTGAGCTCTCCACCCTTATTTGTAGCATCCGTTGCTCCACCCTCCTCCGCCTGCGTCTCCTGTCCCTCCCTGGTTTCCGTCTCAGTGACGTCATGAGGGAGTCTCTGGCTCAGGACCCTCTGGCCCCTCTCGCCCCGCTCCTCTCTGAAGGAAACCTCTCTGCTCTGGACCGGCGCCTCGCATCCGTCCTGCAGGCGGTGCAGACCTGCCAGGAACACCACACAGACGTCATCTACAACGACTTGGAAGGATACGATACCATCAACAGCATGCACGAGGAACAAAACAATAAATGATGTATTCAAGATTCAAGGCTTTTATTGTCGTTTGTACATAGTTACAGTGGCAATGAAAATCTTAGGTTACAGGCTCCTCCAACGGCACAACATGATAAAACAGACAATTCAAATAGTGCAAGTAATACAAATAAAATAGAATGGAAATAGTAGAGTCTATATTCAAGTAATTTGAATATATTTGTTAAATCTGTGGAAATGCCATGTTGGCTTTAGAGTCAAAGCTGGTGAGAGGAAAGCCGAATGTTCACTATAGTTATTTTACAATTGCTCACTGTTGGGAAGGTTAGTTTCAAACTGTAAAAAGTTAGTGTTCAAGTTACACTGTGGACAAATGTAAAAGGCAATGACACTTTTCTAAATACTTCTTCCTACACATTTTATTATATTTGATTACTTTTATAACAAAACTGGACAATAAAGCTGAAGAGTCTGACAAACAAAACAGTGAAAACCTCACTAGAGTACTGACCACTCGTAAATGTAAAACTTGTATTTTAAAGTTCTTCAGTATAACTTAAATCGAGATAAGAAAAGAGCAACATAATACATGTAATGTTTTACATATTTATAAGCATTTTCACCTAAAAGAATATAGTCAAAGGATTCAAAAGCTGTATTTATTGTATGCACAGTAGCTGCACACTGTGGTATTGGCAATGCAAATCTCAGGCCTCTCCAACAATGCAACAAACAATATACTTTACATAAAAGTAAATGACATAAAATTGTGCAATAGAGAAAAAGGTGCAAGTTCGTTTAAGGAATAAGAAAAATATATAGATATAAAATAGAACAGAGATAATATGCAGTAAAATAAATGGTGTATATTGTAATTTTATATAGATATGTTGAATAAAGAGAGAACAAAAAAACAGTTTATTATAGAAATACAGTAAGACAATTTACAGAGCTCATGAGATTAAAAGTCTTATGACATATTCCCTTAATAATCAAATTAAGTTTGAATAGCAGCATAATTTAAAAATAAAACTGTTATTTTTCTCACTAACTGACAACTAAAATAACATGTATTCTTTCATTTAAATAAATAAGAATTCAGAAAGTCTCTTTTAAGTGGATGGTGCCCTCTGCAGACAGGGACCAGTAGTGCATTTATCTGTCAAAAATAAAAAACTAGTTTCACTTTTCAAACGTCACCCAAAGAGAAGGGAGGTATTGCAGGAATATACTATTTGCTGAAGGAGGAACTGAGGACACATGTGTGGGAAGATACAGGTAAGAAACTCCACGAATGAATGCTTCTAAATCTCTACTTGTTTTGATTTCAAACCCGGTAGTCCACGGTGAAGTTTCTTATGCGCATTTGAAAGGGCCAGTGTCCAAATCATGAATCGGGACAGTTTACGCGCAGGGAATGAGGCCTAATGCATGCTAAACAACAGAGGTAGACTTTCTAAATCACATTGTTTACTTTAGTGCCATAGTTTGGATGTGGAGCAGACGCGGTGTCTGGGTGTTTTGTGGCTGTGACTGTATCTGATGGAATCGATGGATTGGCTGAGGGATAATGAGCTCCTGCAGTTTTTCCGGCGAAATAAAACGGAAATGTCCTGCATGGAGAACCCGCAAACCTTTCTGCGACAGCTCCGGGACCACGACCTGCTGCTGGATGAAACATACGAGGTGAGGGGCTGGAGTGGAAACGCTGTTGTTATTACCTTCTTCATACACACTTCCTGTTTGAATGAAATGCTTGCTACTCATTTCGGCACAAACATTTTGAAACGTGAGGCATCTGAAAAAAAAGCGCCAAAACTGCAGTTCGTCGAATGGACACTTGTTGCTGGTCTCAATATCTAATTCCACTACTTTTTGACTCAGATTGCGCCCACACTCAAAGTCTACACTTTACAAACAACATAAACGAACAATATTTATAACAATTACTTTATTTAAAGTATAGGCCTATATTTGGGCTGTTTACTGCCGAGTTTCTAATGGGCGTTGTCATGCCCCCCTCTACCCCAAAACTAGTTGTTGTCCCCTATTATGTGCATTTTGAGACGTTTGGTGAACAGACATTGTATATCAATTAAACCATGACAGTGATCAGCAGTATGAATGATCAATCAGGTTAAAGTATTTTAAAATCTGTTTAACCCAAATTGAATGGAAGCATTTCAACTTTATCTGTCAACCATTGGATAGATTAAATGAATGTTGGCATACATAGCCAAGTATACATATTTTCAAATAACCCCAACCCCTGCTTTAATGGAAATGTAAAAGCTAACATTGTGATCAGATGACCAAGAAATATATCCTGGTGTTGTAAAACAAGTTCATTTTATTTTGGTTTATATTTTAGGTTTCACAACTTTTGTAATATACACGTAAAACAATATCTAGGTTGTGATCTTTGTGACTTCAATCTAGGCTCTTTGGATGCTGAAAATGATAAAACAAAAATGTGTTTTGGATCAATCTGATTCTGCGCTTATTTTCTCCTTGTGTTTGTGTGTCTGTAGAAGGTGATTCGCATGCAGAGTATTAAAAAAATAAAGAACGGTCTCTACGAGATTCTGGACCGGTTGGAGAGTAAGCAACCACAGGACATCAGAGCGTTCTGGACCTGTGTCTTCAAGGAGACCATCTTGAACGAGTACCCCACCCTGCGACTGCTGAGAAACGACCTCATGAACGGTCAGACGAAGTCTTTATTTTAGTCATTAGTGTGTTAATGATTAAGATTCTGTTCACCATGTTCCTGTTCTCTTTGGACATTTTAATCGGAATCACTGATCTCACTTTGTGGCTCAACACTAACACCTAATAACACTGTGTACTATATTTTAGGATTGATAGGGTTAGCGAACTAGCATACCTGTTTAACCGGAGAGCTGAAAGTAAATTGACTAACTTGAAAAATATGGATACACTCAATTTTCTTATAAAGTAATGAAAAAACAAGTTGAAATAGTTGGCCATTGATAGTAAAATAGTTCTGCATAATCCATGGTCAAAGTAATGACAATGGATTAAACCATTGTTGAAATTGATAACTAGAACAATAAATACACCATTGTTCAAATAGTTAGCTAAAAAAATAAATACGTAGTTATAAGTTGACATCATTATTGGCGAAATTTGCTGAGGCCACACTATGTTAGGAAGGAATTTTAACTATATCAATGGCGGTTAATTGAAATTGCAGGAACTTTCCAATTCGACATAAAGCAGTCTGAGAGGGCGGAAACAGAGGAGGCAGATGAAGGGAAAAGGAAGGACGTTTCAGAAGATGAGGAGGAAGCGGAAAAGCAAGAGAGCCCTGTTAAAAAGAAGAGAAAACTGAAAAATAGGGACGTGTGCGACGAAGAGGAGGAGCAGCCAGGTCCGTCGTCTCGGGTGACTCCGAGGAAAAGGCCTGAGAAAATACGCTTCTGTAAGTCACCTCCCACTTCTGCTTCCATTTGTAAACATGACTGTGTATTACTCAAAGTTCCCCTGCTGAAAAGTAACTTGTAAAGTAAATTCTTTCTTTGTTTTTATTCCCCAGCCTCTCCCCTGAAGAAGGGAGAGAAGAACGACATTTGGAACTGGGACCTCTACAAGTCCCAGCTGCCGGTGACCTGTGGAGAGAAGGAGGGGATACTCAGCAGAAAAAGACTGGCTGATGGTGAGCAGAATATAAATAACTGAAGTATGGGATCATGAAAAAAAAAAATGTATCATCATTGTCTACTCCAATATGGAAATCAAGTAAATTAGGACCAGATTTTGAGATCATTAATCACAATGTAATTTCTGATATATAGTGAAACTTCTCCAATCTTATTCTGACCGTAGAAAGTTAGTGACATCAGACTTTATTCAGTAATATGTGTGATAACATATTCTCAAAAGAAAAGGGAAGATTTATTCCAGATGAGCAAATGTTCTCCTGCAGTGCAAACTGATATGATTTTCAAGACACTGTACTATGTGTGTGAGACCATCAACAATGTCCAATTGTAACCATTGCGCTGCTACATTTTTGTTTGTTGGACTTTTTTTGTGTTCTTCCGTAACATAGTGACAGCACTCTGTATCATTCATGCTCCAATTGTTTGCACTCCATTACATTGTAAGTGATAGCCTAAGGGGCGGGCCATCTCTAAGCATTTGACCAATCACAACAGAGCCGGCCAGCTAACCAATCAGAGCAGACTGGGCTCTGATTTCAGACCGAGGGTGAAAAGAGGTAGGCACACACAGGCAGTGTGAGAAAAATAAAGAGCTTTTTGAACATTAAGCATGGAGACATGTCACAGTACAGGCAGAAGGTACTAATATGAACCTGAAAATGTACATAATATGTCCCCTTTAAAAACTTAAATCACGGTCAATTTAATATCGGCAAGACTGGTTGCTCAATATCCAGTTTTGTGACATGGGGAAGTTAGGTTTAGCTGGAAGGATTTTCCAATGCTTAATGATAAATATTGATTGACATTAACCCATCCTCAATACTTTATTCTGTTTCAGGGGAGAAGTGCATCACTGTTGGGAGACAGTGGTTTTCTCCGGGTGAATTTGAGAGGTTTGCGGGCAAGGGCAGCTCCAAGAACTGGAAGATGACCATTACATGTTTGGACACCACTCTGGGAAAACTTATACAGGTTTGTTAAACTTGGATTTGACAGCTTGAATGTTTTACTATTAAATGTTGCTACACCCTGTAAGATTTTGGGAACTTCACTGCAGACGGGTCATCTGAAAGCAGAAAACTACAGAGCAGGATGCAAAAAGGTAATAACAAAAACTGATGTAAATACATATATTCTGACTACTTAGTTTTTAATGATCTGACCCTAATAATATCCCTTTTTTCTTACTGTTAGACCAAGAAAACCCTGTTCCCAACTGACGATGTAACCACAGGTTTGTTGCTAAAGGTGTATACATGGAGTATTTTTGATAGTCTATGAGAAAACTCTGAATCCCTGCAAGCTATTACAAGATGTATCGGTCTAATCTAAATGGTTTTCATCTAAGTCTGCAGGTGTAAAATGTTTCAAATATTGAAGAAGTGAGTGTTTTAACTGTAGGATAAATTATTCATACGAAGAAGCAATGGAAAACCTATTCACCATTTTCATTTTTTAGTGTCCGAGGAAGAAGTAGATGAGGACTCAGACCAGGATTCATCAAGCAGCACAGATATTTCCACAGCTGGAACAGGTCCTGCTTTCCTCAGTTATATAGGGTCACTGATGCTAATGTTAGAACTTGTTTTTTTTTGTACCAAAGGCTAAGTTACCAGATACTTGAAGCTAGCTAGCTTGGTTGGCATCCATAATTCACATTACCTTTGATATCAATTGGGATGCTAATTTAGGCTAGCAAAAAAATGCTTGTTCGGTCACTACTAAACTGAAAACATGAACAGCTAACTCTTTAAAGTGACTTGTACATCAACGAGCTAAGCCAACAGGCCAAGTGCAGACATTGATTACCTGCTAATAAGTGCCAAGATATAAATAGGATAACATTAGAATTTCACTCACTGAAAATTTGAGACTGAAACTTTTTTTGTAGATGAATTTTTGCTGAAACGGTAGCTCTTTAAACCTCCCTTTTAGAGCCTCAAGTGGCCATTTGAAGAAATGCAGTTTTTGGCACTCTTGCATAGACTGCTGCTTGACCCAATCCCAGTATCATAGCATTAGGATAATCATGTTGTCCATTACAGATGAAGAAGGAGAGAGAGAGGAACAGACAGGCGCCAGCCATGACAGTGGCAGGAAGGTGTTCAAAGTCACATGTGGACCTTTAGCGGGGGACTTACACAAAAAACGATTTGCAACAGGTAGCTATATCTGACTGAACACAAAAGCTTAATATGTGTATTGAAGTAATAACGTTTTTACTGACCAGCTGAATCTAGTGTAATGTGTCTTCTTGCCAGGGGTCTTAGGGAAGAGTATTCGTACTGAGACCAGATGGATGACCCCAATGCAGTTCATGCTGGAGGCATGTCCAACATATTTGTCCTGGAGGAAAGACATCGAGTGTGAAGGGAAAGCACTCGGTGATCACATAAAGGTAAACATGTAACTGTGCATTCTTGTGAGATGCATTTTGATAGGAATCTTTAAAGGTGCCTCATTATGCTCTTTTTTAGGTTCATACTTGTATGAGCCTCTACTGTGACATGTCTCCATGCTTTAATGTTCAAAAAGTTCTTCATTTTCTCATACTGCAGCACCTCTTTTCACCCTCTGTCTGAAACCAGAGCCCAGTCTGCTCTGATTGGTTAGCTGTCTGGCTCTGTTGTGAAAACAGTGATGTTTAATAATTTTCAGAGCTAATCTTCAGTTACAAAAATGTACCTGTAGCCAGGGAGGTAATGAGCTTTTGAGAGACCGAAGGACTTGTCAAGCCTGAACGTTGTTAACCATAGACTGTTTATTTTCAGGCAAATATCTTGAGGATCCACAAAGTGCGGTGTGATTGTAACAGTGCAAACCGCGAAGTAAGGATCTGGTAAGTTTGTTAATCAGTTTCATAAACAAGGAACCTTCTGTAGTGTAATTCTACTGAGATGTTTACATTTCTGTCTTGGCAGGATGATGAGAATAACGATGACGAGTGTTTCATCTGTAAAAGTGGAGAAGAAGACAAGTTTGTGATGTGTGATACCTGCCCTCGCTCCTTCCATCAGAAATGCCACCTTCCTCATGTAGAGGACAACATCATACGGTGAGCTTGGAATCTAAACAAAAGAAAAAAAAACACGACATTTTGTTCCCCTTAAATCTGGATTAATACTTGATTCTGATTGGCTGCAGGTTGTTCATTATTTTCTTATAAAGGACACCTACCAAGTAGTTCAAGAGACATTGTTTTTCCACCAGTCTAAACTCATGGATGTATCTAAATGATACCAATGTGACTTGCTTTGGCCTCGAAAACTGACATCCATAAATAAAATGTAGATTCAACTTCAACTGGAGAATCCTACTTAATTCAATACATTGTATTGAAATGCAAGTCACCTAATATACTTTATTTTGGTAAAAGCATCGCTGCCTTGACGGAGACCCTGCTTTTATTACATGTTAAACTAACTGTTCAACTTTATAAATCAGCTGATAAATGACCTACGCAAGTGTTATGTCACGTGGTTTCACTTATTTAAAGAGGGATCGATGTTATATACTGTTGAAGATTGCTAATTGTCCGACCCAACATATATACCTTTTATTATGTTTGTGTCAATGTGAGCAGCGATGGAAACCAATGGATGTGTACGGTCTGTGTATACAAGGCCAATGAAAACCTTTACCCCAGTGAGTCGGGAAGAGGAGCAGCCTTGGCTCGCACAATATCACAACGACTGCTGGTGAACACACTGCGACTCAATCTCTCTTTTCATCGTCGTGTCTTGTTTTCCGTTAATCTCATCCCTCCCTTTTCTTACATCAACAGCATTGCCAATACCTCCTTCTGTGTCTGCGCAGTGCTGATAAGGACCAAATATTTGCTTCTAACCCATGTGGTGTAAGTGTTTTTTATTGTGATTCCAATATTGCTCCTATTAATGACAAATAATGCCAATGATTTAATTTAAAGCATATAAAGTGTGCTTCATTATCTGGTTCCTGGAGGACTATCTTCTGGTCTTTTGTGAATCTGATAAATGTGTTTTTTACAGACTGTTTAAAGAGGACTTATTCTGCTCATGTTCAGGTTCATAGTTGGATGTAGTTTCTCTACTGTGACATGCTTTATGCTTTAATGTTCAAAGAGGTCTTTATTTGTATCATACTGCCTGTGCTGCAGCACTTTGTCGTGTGCCACCTGTTAGCCTATCTCTGCCTGAAGTGCCTCCTTTGTTTACTTCCATAACACAGTGACATCACTATGTAACACTAGCGGTTCTATTAGCTAGTGTTCCAACACATTGTACATGATAGGCTAAGGGGGCGGGACATGTCTAAGTGGTTGAACAATCACAACAGAGCTGGCCAGCTAACCAATCAGAGCAGACTGGGCTCTGGTTTCAGACAGAGGGTGAACTTTTTGAACATTAAAGCATGGAGACATGTCACAGTAGAGACACAAAATACTAATATGTTAGCACCAGCCAATAGGAGCGCTACGGAAGTAAACAAAGGAGTCCAATGTAGTGTTAATTTCGTCAGCTATTTTTTTATTTAGTTTTAGTCTTAGTCCTGTGTTAAATTTCCTTTTTAGTTTTAGTCATATTTAGTCACCTTCATCCTGTTTTTATTTAGTCAAGTTTTAGTTGACTAAAAGTCTGAGCATTTTAGTCATATTTTAGTCAAAGAAAGATAATTATTTTAGTCTACAATAGTCTGTCAATAAAAACTGTTGAGTATTTTTTAGTCATCAGATTATATAGAACATTTCAGTCAAACTAGTCTAGCCAAAACCAATAATTTGTCATTTTAGTATATATAAATAAATAAGATTATATCTTGTCCTTATTTGATGAAAAACACAGGTTGAATGATTAAGAAAGCAGCTTTGCAGAGAGTATCTGCTCAGGTTTGTGGTGTTTTTGTGTTATGGCCACATTGCTTCCCTTCTGATAAAACAATGCATTCACTTTTTTTCTCCGCCTCATTGTAGCGAAAATGGGCCCAAATATCGTTTCTTTCTCCCAAGCAGTGGTGGCTTTAGACTTTTTCGTTGTCAGTCATTTTGACGGATCGTAACATTTCTGTCATAATCCATTATTATCCGTCGAGTGCACAATTTATCAATCACTCGCGCTGACGGGGGGGGGGACGGGGGGGGACGGGGGGTCTTCGGTTAACGCGAGTGCGACCACTGCTCCCAAGCCCTGTTGCCATTTTATTTTCTGTTAAATAAGGTTAGTTAGACCATGAGTTAGACCCGAGTCTTCCTGACAGTTCGTATTGTGCCGCTGCCCGGTGTAATTCAAATCTACCGCCGCGCGCAGCACAGACACACAGCTGCTGCCCAGCCGCAGCACCGGAAATGGAACTGCTGGGAGAAAAACTGACTATCAGAGATGTAACGTTATCTTTGATAATATTTCGTCTCCTCATTTTTCGTCAACCAAAGTAAAGAGAGATTTTGGCATAGTTTTTATTTAGTGAACTACATTTTCGTCTCGTCACTTTTCGTCAACGATATTGCATGATGATTTCGTTAGTTATTGTTTACTGCCGTCTCGTCATCGTCTCGTTTTCGTCATGGAAAAAAAGGTCGTTGACGAACATATTTCGTCATAGATTTAGTCAACGAAATTAACACTAGTCCAATGGAGGCTTTTCAGTCGGAGGGGAGTGTGTGGGAGAGAAACTCCCTCTGCAGGGATCTTTGGGATGTTAGCCTTTGCAGACCATGCACATGCACAAAAACCTATATAACACATTACAGGAAATGAAAAAGCGTAATAGGCCCTTTTTAATTAATTACTGCTTTCTGCCCACAGTTGGAACGATACTCCTCTGTGATTAAAACTCCGATGTGGCTGGACAATGTAGCCGGCAAACTCCAGAAGAAACTCTACCAGACTGTCAGAGAGTTTGTGTCCGACATCCAGCTCATTTTCTCCAACTCTGCTTCATACAACCAAGTAAGAAACCGTGTCTTTCATAAGCTCCACATGAACTGCAGGGTTGGGAGTTTTCATCATGTTCACATCTGGTACTAAATGGTTTAAAACAGTCAAATATCAAAGTAAAGATTCATTTTTTAGGACATATTTTAGTGATAAGGTCTGTTGTGTTCTTTTTGCAGGACAATGCTGGATACCTTGCGACGGGAAACAGACTGAAGGAGTTGTTTGACAAGGAATTTAATAGTGTGTTCAACATCTCTGAACAAACTGTTGGCTGACAGATTTCATTTTTTAAGCTCAGTAGATATAGATACTGGGAAACGGTTTCAAAATGTGTAAATAGCCCTGTTTTCGATAATATATTCCAAACAGAAAAGTTGCTAATCAAAAGAGGGCAATGGAACTTTACTTGATTTAAGACACAAATTATCTAGCTTACCTAACGTACTTTTTAAATTACATTGAATTTCACAGTGTAAACCTGTGGAAGGTACATCAAAAGATGTCGGATAGACAGGTCATAAACAGTACTTCCAGATAGGTTAGAAGTTGTAATGTCACTTGAGTCAGCGTTGCCGCTTTGTATACAATCCGGGGGGGGGGATAGATTAATCATTAATGTAATAAGTGAGATGGCCAGACCTTTTGAGTCGGCTCCATATCTCTGCTTGTGTAATTTAACTAATATATTCTCCAACCTTATGTTTCGTTTCAGTCAAAGGTCCAAAAGTTTTTCCGGTTAAAGTTTTCAACTTCCTAAGTGTTTCAGCTCCAGGGTGCAAAGTGAGCATGTGCTGATCGTGGGGAGAAGATGTCTCTCTGGCAAGAGTACAGCAGCACTGCAGCAATTTGACTGTTTTAACGTTTTCCAAATAACTTTTATACTGTCAAGATAACTTTCAAAGAATGTTTACTGTAACCAGCTACCTTGTTTCCTGCTCTGATATCCATTCAGGTTTTATTATCCAATAGTATGAATATAATAAAAAATTGGCAAATATATTAATAGATAATAGCAACACTGACTTTAAATGGTGTTTTATTGTACTTCATTTTGTAGTAGTATAGACATGTTTGGACTTTTCAGTCTCATCCTGTGTAATCAACAAGTTGTTCAAGGAAGACAAATGCGTGAACAAAGTATCTTGAGTGCATTTTGCATTAAAAAAAAAATGCATTATTGAATTTCTTTACTCATAAAAAGGTTAAGTGTGGTATCATTAATATTTGTTTAATTGTTTTCTTAAGTTTTGACAGCTTTTCTTTAACCCAAGTGTTTACAATGGAGGTGTTTTATATGAATGTGTGATTTTATTCAAAGGAAATGTAACTCCCAACATTATTTTCAATGACACTTTATTTTAAAGAATAATCACGTTAGGATAAGAGGGTTTCATAAAGTATCAATTATGAATGTATGGTTTGTGAAAGTCAGAATTTGACTTTGTATGATATTGCTTGTTTGATAAACCTGCTTGCACTTCACCTGAGTATTTTCATTCAATGCTAGTTCATACTTCTACTCCACTACTTTTACACTACTAAATGTATCCGACAGCCATAGGAACTAGTAAATTTTGATGCCACTACTTTCGTACTTTACTTAAGTAAGATTTTGAATGCAGGACTGTTGAGTATTAACCCTTTCACTGAGTACTTTTGCACCAGTGCTTAAAGGTTAAATCTGTATGCAGAATGAAAACAAAGAAGATTGACACTATTGAAGTAAAAATATGAAAAGTTTATTTAAATTATAATGAAAAGGATGGAAATATGTCTCTGTCTTCTTTTAAAGAGTAATAACATGAGGGAACCAAAGGATTTTCTGTCCTTCTATAAGTCATTTGTTAGATAGAATCAGAATACCTTTATTAGTCCCACAGAGGGGATATTTACATGTTACAGCAGGTAAAGAGCCAACACTAGCTGAATATTACTAAAGAAGCATGCATAAAATATGAAAGATAAAAATGACACCATTTACAAAATACACATCCAGTACCTTGTCTTTGTGCAGGCAATGTTTCAGAAGATTTGAAATGTCTACGTCCATACTGTTAAGGACACCTATAGAAAGTGTCCTGTTGAAGCTTTATTGCAGTGGTGTCAAACTCAAGGCTCGCAGGCAAAATCCGGCCCACAACCTCGTTTTATGTGGCCCGCAAGAGCTTGCAAAGAATATAATATACAATGTGTAAATGGTTGAATATTTGCTTTCAATTATTTGCCATAGACCTCTGCTTTCAGACGTAGTTATTTATGAGGTTATTACCAGAACTGATAATAGTCCAATGCAGAGCCAATAATATAATATACAGTTGCAAGAAAAAGTATGTGAACCCTTTGGAATGGGCCAGGACATGTGAGAAAACGAGAAGCATGGCTGCAAGTGGGAGTGCAACTGCCGCTGCGCCTCGGCTTGTTGACAAAAAAAGACGCCAGAAGCGAAATGTGGAAGTATTTTAGCTATATCTCTGACAGTGAGGGCAAGCCTACGGACACCACGAGGCCTGTCTGTAAGACATTTATTAATTGTATTTAATACGAATTCTTGTCATTTTTTAATTTATTATTCTCATTGTTTAAAAGTTTGTGTTATGGTTATGGTTCTGGTGTGAAATAAAGCACAATAATTACATTTAAGACTGTTTCCCTTTTTTTAAGAAAAGTATCGAAAAATAATCGGAATCGCAATTCTTGACTTGGTAATCGAAACCAAAATGTTGGTATCGTGACAACACTAGCTACTCCTGACAGTTAAACCTGATATTTAGTAGGTCTGTTAAGTATTGAATGCTGATAATTCTGACGTAATTTGGCAGGTCAAAGTTGTTTGGGCTCGGATAAAATCGCTCCATTACTTTTGTCCCGTGTTACTTTCGTCCCGTGTTACTTTCGTCCCGGCTCTCCCTACGTGTGTATGTGTGGTGTCAGGTGTCAGTATGAGAGGGTGCCAGCGCGTCTAATTTTGATGTGGCCCAAGAAACCATCACATAATTACCTGGCGATTGCAGTGAACCAATTTGAGGGGGGGGGAAATCGTTGATTAAATACTATCAGTGTTTCCCCTACCATTGTATTGGAGGGGCGCTGCGCCCCGCCAATGGAGCCCCGCGCCCCCCCTGAAATTCAAGGTGTTTAAAAATATATCTAATTTAAAAAAAAAATATATATATATAGCACCCAAATTGCAAATAATCTTATACTACTGTCAACTTTTCACATTGACCATGTGCTCTTTAATTAAATAAACTAACGCTTTCATTTTGAAGTTGTGAGTTTAGTGTTTTTGACCCTAAGAAACACTGATGCATTAATCAATAACAATAATCCACAGCTCCCTCTCTGCTCCCAGAGGATTTAAAAAAAAAATATATCCCAATGCCACAAAAATGCAATCAGTGACGTGGTTAAAATCTTGTCTCCAGAAAACAAAAAACTGAAACAAGCGGTATCAGTGACATGTGTTTGATGTGGCTCTTAGTAACAGAAAAAATGTGGCTCTTAACCTCTGACTGGTTGCCACCCCTGCCCTAGGCTAAAGACTTCTTCAAGAGCTAATTGGAGTAGTCAGCCAACCTGGAGTCCAATCAATGAGACGGGATTGGAGGTGTTGGTTAAAGCTGCCCTGCCCTATAAAAAAATACACACCAGTTTTGAATTTGCTATTCTTAAGAAGCATTGCCAGATGTGAACCATGCCTCGCACAAAAAGCTCTCAGAAGACCTTAAGAATTGTTGACTTGCATAAAGCTGGAAAGGGTTACAAAGTATCTCTAAAAGCCTCGATGTTCATCAGTCCACGGTAAGACACATTGTCTATAAATGGAGAAAGTTCAGCACTGTTGCTACTCTCCCTAGGAGTGGCCGTCCTGTAAAGATGACTGCAAGAGCACAGCGCAGAATGCTCATGAGGTGAAGAATCCTAGAGTGTCAGCTAGAGACTAAATCTCTGGCACATGCTAACATCTCTGTTGACGAATCTACGATACGTAAAACACTGAACAAGAATGGAGTTCATGGGAGGACACCACGGAGGAAGCCACTGCTGTCCAGAAAAAACATTGTTGCACGTTTGAAGTTTGCAAAAGAGCACCTGGATGTTCCACAGCACTGCTGGCAACATATTCTGTGGACAGATGGAAACCAAAGTTGAGTTGTTTGGAAGGAACACACAACGCTATGTGTGGAGAATCCAAAGGGTTCACATAATTTTCCTTGCAACTGTAATACATTATTTAATATATATTATATATTTACATATGTATATTTATATAGTCTTAAAGTTACAACCGGCCCTTTGAGTGCAACCATAATGCTAATGTGGCCCGCAATGAAATTGAGTTTGACACCCCTGCTTTATTGCTCCATGCCCTGCGTGTGACGTCACTGTCACAGTTTCCAGCAGCAAATCTGTGCGGAGAGCTGCGCAGCCGCTCTGCGTCAGCAGGAGAGGACAGCGCAGCCATTTCTCTACCCCTCACGAACAAAAAACCTCCAGCGGGGGTTTGTGAGGGTCTTTCACCCAAATAACTTCCCCGACGTGCGGGAATCATGAAGTGAGCAGCACATACCGAGGCGCAGCTCGATCCCGGCGCTACAAACTTTCTCCCAAATGTAACGCCTGCGCAGGCGACATACACACGCTCGGTCTTTTTTCTTCCCTGTTGTTTTCTGTCAGAAATGGAGGGACATCTGCAAGGCAGCTGCGGGGACATCGTGATCCTGCATGTGAAAACGGAAAGCGGTGGATGAGAACACGTCTGCGCTGGTTCTGAGCAGCCGAGGCTCGCCTGCGCCTTGCGGAGATTCCGCATGCCGAGGCGGGGAGCAGACTGCCGAGGAGCCGGGAGAGAACACCGCTGCTCCGGGTCTGCTTGTGTGAGTGCTGCTGGGCATACTCTTTCCCTTTTTAATGCACAATTTAGAAACAATAATTCAATACGTGGGGTTTCTGATTAAGAGGACACACTACAGGTGGATAGTGTCCACATCTGAATATTTAATTCATTCTTGGGGGAAATTGGGGTTCATGACAGATTAATATACATCGTACGGCAGTTATACTAACAATACATATGTAAATGTGTATAAGAGCTAATATATAATTATAATATATAGCCTACTTATAAATACTTTATAGATTTTTTTTATTATTATAGTATTAATGAAGATATTAATGCTGAAAACCACCTAAAAATGTACAAAAGAAAGTATGGATATTACTTAGATGATTAATTACATCAAGACATATATTTATAAAAAATTGCTCAGTTGCCTACAATTCTTAAAAGCCATACACTTCCTATGCAAATCATGCTAATATAATACCAACTTTGGGTGAATCTAGTAAAAATCTACAATCCTTTTTAAATCTGTTATATATCTGTTATATGATAATAATGTGCCTCTTACACCTGTTTTCCTTTTAGACCCGGTGAGAACAGACCGCTTCTTCACCACATCGGGGGACGGAAAGACGTAC